TTTATAACATATAATAAGATCTGGTCAGCTTTTAATTTGTTTACACACAAATATGATCTATACCACTGAATAGTAATAATGATCTACATAAAAATAATGATCTATACCACTGAAAATACAAAAAGATTTAGCTTGAAAGGAGAATAAGATGGGTTTTCAAATGCATAGATTCATTCTAAACACATTTCTTTAAACGCAACACAATGTAAGCTTATAAAATATCTAATAAAAAGTTCTTTATACCGATGGTTTATATTTCATGATCTGATGTCAGTTAACTTAAAAGATAAGTGCATGATTGATTCATAGTTTCTTTTCTAAACCTATGATGTAGGCAAACATTCTAACTTCAATTTCTTGCCTTCGAGCAAAATTATGTTCTACTTTTCATAACCCAGTTGTAAAGATCTCCAGGCAGTAGCAAGCTGGTAACAATTTTAGTGGTGTTTAAACTCAGTGTCAGAGACGCTGATGTTTTATGGCCATATATCAGTTTAATATATCAGAAAAGTAAAGGTCAAAAACTTGGTAATGGCTACAGGTATCGTAAATATGTGTCTTGGGTGGAAATTACTGTACAAAACTATAGGGCAGAGATATCAAATGGGTTTCACCATATAAGACCAATTTTAGGTATTTGCTACCCGAATGATTGTGTTGAGAATTTTGACAATTCAGTTAGCATTCTGTGAGAAACAGCATGTGCTATGCTGTGATCTAAAAGCAACGATTCCTGGGGACGCAGGAGGTGTTAGATAGGACAAGGGTCTCCAGGTCTGGGCAGTTCTTTCTAAATGCTACTTTTGCTAAATGTTAACATATAGTACAGTGTTTTGCAGATGAAGCTGTAAACAGAATGAGCTTGATAGGAACTCAACAGGTTAAGTGTAGCCAACTGCAAAGAAGAAATCAAAGTGTAATAACCAAGTAGCATATATAAGCAATGGCTAAACTTCCATTCAGAAAGACAGAGCTTTGGATGTGAATCCTCAGTCTCCTTCACTTGCTGCAAGTATATAAAACTACTTTGTGACAACCTGTCTTGTTCTTGAATAGAACACCCCAAGGTTAACCCCTTGGGTTCAGTAACAGAGGGATGGATATGCCAGCTCTGTTCTAGGTTTGAGATCTTACAGGTAGCTCAAGGCAACTGGAATCTCAGCATTGGGGTCCTACCATCTCACACCCTTGCTTCTTGCTGTGCTTATGCTTCATCCTCTCTGTAAAAACTTGTCCCTTCCACCTCATACTTACACCAACTCTGTGTACAAGGCAAAAGATGGTGCCCTCATTTCACCTATAAGTTTAATGTCAGTACAAGTAAGAAGCAGAAATTAAATTGTATTCTCACTTGCAAAGAGACAGTCTCTACTAAATTCAAACTGAAAAAGAATGGAAGGAGTTCAGAGAAATGAGAGGCAGATTGGTAGAATGGGCTCAGGTAGGAACCAAGGAAGACTGGACACAGAGTCCAGATTCTGCTACAGGGATCGTCTGCTTAGACACAGGCACCATCAACACAGAACACCTATTGCTTACTGCTGTTGGACTCCCCGACCCTGAACATTCATCTTCTGCCATTGGCCTCTCAACTCCACTCTAGCCACCATGAATAATCAGAGCCACCTATGTGTCACTCCCACAAAATTCAAAATTCCTGGGAGTAGCAGTACACAGATCATAGGCCACAAATCCAGCTATCGGTAGAGGGTCACTTCTCTGAGAAGAGGGACTTGGTTAAAATCGATACCCTCAAAAGGTGTTCATTGCATGCTATGTTCTGCTAGGCAGAGGGCATGTGAGAAGATGCCAAATATCATCCAGCTTAGAAACTGCAGTCCCAGAACAGAGTGAGGAACCAGGTTCAGTGTATGAAAGTTTGAATTTATAGGTAACGTTACCTAAGAGTAAGCAAATAAATAGATACCAGGAGGAGCTAGAACTGAAATCAAAGACTTTGCTAGATAAAACAGGTCTGGGAGCAAATTGTAGAACCAGAAAGAATTGAAGAGATGACCCTGAAGTAGATTCCAACAGCAGAGATGCGTCTTCCAAAAAAAATAGTTAGCAGGACACAGCAGGCACCAGTGAAATTCTAAGGTTGTAAACCAAATAGCCATGAAGTTAGAAGCTAGAGAGTACAACACAAAAGAGCAAAAAGATGGACTGGAATTTCTAAAGCTCATGTAAGATTGCTATTTGTTACGTATATTCATTGCAGGATGTATTCTTATACATCCAGTGAATTAGTTCTGTTAGACAGCCCTCACAGAGCTGAGAGAGAAGTAAGAACTATAATACACAAGCACCAGCCCTTGAGGTGATGAAGGCATCAGGAACATTCAGAAACTGATGGGTTACTGCACTTCTCCACTAGCATTGGCACAATGAGTCTAACATACAAGGGTGAGGACCTTACTTTTGCCTGATCCTCCAAATCTTTGCTTAGAATGTTCTTGGTAGTCTTCCTAATGAGCCTACCAGAAGTTTTGGTCAGGTGGAAGGGACAAGGCTACTGTGGTGCAGGTAACTTTAGGCCCTGAGTGAAGTGAGGAGATCTAGGCTTTGAGCGGTTAGTACAAGTCCAGTGGAGAGCATGTTGGGGGTGTGGTGTGGTAGTGGAATAGTTATTAGAGACCAGAGACCAGTGCATGCACCCTATGTAATACTTCAGGCTTTCTAGTTAACAGGAAGAGAAAAACCATCATCACAGCCTCAGTGATGAAGGCAGCAGCAGCAGGATACTGACAGCAGGTAGCAAAGGTTAATTCTACACACAAACATTTCCTGGCAAAAATCACACATCCAGGATTAGAGCAAGTATGCCCCAGCTAAATTCCAATTGTTTTAAACTTAAAAAAAAAAAAAACTTAAGCATTAAAATGATGCATTTCACTTTTGTAGGCATAACACATTTCCCTCATTTTTGTTACAAGCTTTCCCCTCCCTTTTTCATCTAGCTGATTTTCCCAGGTATTCTAAGACATAGGTCCCTTATTACTCTTTAACACACACATCCCAGACTTCTATGTTATATGGAACAGACATGGATGTGCTTCTTTTGTCTATTTTATGAATGAACAGATTTTCACTTAAAAGCAATTTATATTCTACCAAACTCAGCAAGACTTTAAAACACTCTTTCTCTGTTTTTGTTTGTTTGCTTGCTTTTTGGTGTTTTAAGTATCCCTGAAAATAAAGGAGCCATTGAGTCTAAGACTGACAAGTATCCAGGTTATTTACATACTGAGGTTTGGAATTGCAGAGACTATTCCAAAAAGAAAACAGGGAATGACGGGAATAAAAAGAATCAAAATGAGAGTGGAGAGAAAAAAACTTGATGAATAATATAACCTATAACATGTAGAGGAGATTTTGACACCACCCATGTTTAAAACTAAGTACAGAACTTTTTCAGTTACTTTACCCCTAGTCCTACGTGGTGAAGAGTCTACCATGGAGTTAACTAGTATTCTAGAGTTGATTTTGAGGCTGAGAGTTTAGAACAAAAACATTATCTCTAGTTTATTTATTAGTTTAGAAAAGAAACAGCACAAGGAATTTTTCTAGTTAAAAAAAAACTCAATATAAACCTACATGAAAATTTTAATGCCCAAGACAGTCAATGGCAAATGAAGTTTTAGGAGCTAAATCAAATAAAGCATCTTTCCATGTTAAGTGTACCTTTTCATTAATGTGAAAGCTTGTGCCTACCTTTGGTTCATTTAGTGAGCTGATTCAAACTTTTATATGCAATTCCTGAGTTGCTACAACACCAGAATACTGACACATATAATTGTACTATTTATCTGTGGAAGATGATTGGATTTCGCTTAAAAACCACAGACAAAGGAAACCAACAGTCCCACATAGTTCTGATAACCCCACCAAAGAGGAAATACAAAAAGGAAGTTAATCTAAGAGTGTGACAGAGAAGTGATTTCAATACAAAAAAGCCTCAATATTCAGCTCATTCCCATCTTGAAAAACCTCATCTTTATCCCATTTCCTTCTGGATCCTCTCCCTTTCTAGAGACTGGAAACAAGACAAAAAAAAAAAAAAAGTCTTGGATGCAGATGAGCAGAATTTTTGTACTGTGTACCGCACTTTCAGGGGGCGCAGCCTGTTTCCATAGCTGTCAAACACGGTAGTGATACCTGTTCCTGTTCCCTCCCTTGTATGTTGCCAGGGTCGTTTATAAAATACGCTGTTCCAAATTAGCCAAAACTACCATCGTTGGGACAGTCGCCAACAAAACTCAGCTTCGGTTCCCTCTCCGGACAAGGCTGGATTGACCTACAGTCAACAGGAAGCTCCTGGGGTTGGGATAGACTTGGAAGGAGGCCAGACGCGAGTGTTCCTGGACTGCGATCTAGGTAGTGATGAGGATGTTACTAACATGCCCGCCAGCCCCCCACCCCCACCCGCCCTCCGATTTCCCAGCCCAGCTGAGATTTTACTATCAACTACAGTGGGTGCGGAAGCATAGTACGGAGAAGCAAACTGCCAAACAAAAAACCCTCAACTCCATCCTTCTCTAAAACAAAAACAAAACCCCAAAGCCCTCGGCACTACAGAGAGCGGGATCAAGGGAAAGGAAGGGGGGGGGGAAATCTGCTGTCCTAGCTCCATCTCCGGAGGCCGCCTAGTCGGCAGTCGCAGGGTCCGCTAGAGGGGCGGGGCATTGTGGGTCGGCTCTCCGGGAGCAGAAGAGCCACCTCTTCACGCCCCCTCAGCCCGCCTCGTCTCGGGAATCCGCCCCGGACCCCGCCGCCATGTTGAGTCGGAATAAGTGACTCGGACTCGCCACCTAGGATGACCTCGACTGGAGAGGTCCGGAGCAGGCGGCGGCGCCCGCTAGTGCCGGAAGGCTGCGGGAGCTGAGACGGAGTGGGCGCGGCACGGGTTCCGGTGAACGGGCCTGCGCGCGAGCAGGTAGCTGCAGCCCCCGCCCCGCCCCCGCTCGGAGGGGCGGGGTCAGGAGTGAGGGCGGGCGCCCAGCGGAGAGGAGGTGGAGAGTGAGGATTTGGGGTGGAGGAACCCGGGAATTCCCTCCTCCTGAAGTGAAGAGTTGGGTTGATTGTGCGGTCGTTGCTGCTGCCGGGCTCCCGGGACGAGGAGGTGGAAGGAGGGAGAGGGCTCTGCGGGCCTCGCCTTCGCCCGCCGCCCCTTCCCCACCACTGGAGCCTCAGCAGCGGCGACCCATGTGAGCGCGACCGGGGGACAGGTAAGGATCCGACGAGGCCCCGCGGGCGGGCGTAGGTAGTCGACTCGGGCCAGCAGTGCTAGGCCCCGGCGCCCGCCCGCGCCCGGAGGCGCTGCCGTTCCCTGCCCCCGCCAGCTCGGAGTCGGGAAGTTGAGGAGAAACTTCTCCCCTCCCCCGACCCGGCTGGCTCGGAGGGCGTGTCTCCTTCCCCGCGCTACCTGCTCGCGCCCCCCCCCCCCCCCCCCAGTTCTACTCCGTCCCGCCCAAGTCCGACTTAAGGTCCCCGGAGCGTTAGGACGTCCCACCACCCGGGTCCTTAGGGTTGTGTGGGCCACCGCGCGGGGCGGGGGCGAGGTTTATTTTGGCTCGCATCCCCAAGTAAGCGGCGTGGGCAGCGGCCCCTTTCTGTCCCAGAGGTTGGGGGTCTAAGTGTTGACTTAACGCCGGGCGGCAGCTGTGTCGGGAGAGCGGGCGAGCGTGTGTGTAAGGGGCGAGTTGGTGAGCCTCTCGCTTCACTTGGTTTGATTGAAAACCACAACATGTTAAAAGTTTTCCTTTGTTTTGTGTTGGGGGTTGGGAAATAAGCCACTCAGCATCCCCTGTTACACTACTATGCCACTTCGCCTCCCAGTTAGTTCGGTCCTCTGTCAACGTGTGTTACAGAAAAATTTGTTTTAAAGCGTATTTTTCCTGACAGTCGCTTCCAGCTTTTGCTTTATTGGGCATGGGTGAGCGTTGTTTTAGGAAGTTCTTCGAAAATCACGTCTGTTGTAGGGACTGGTTTAATTTTGTTAGTGAGTGAGGCACAACATCGTTTGGATTGGGTTGAATTATTTTCTGCGCAATTAATTGAAACAGGCTTGTAGTAATCCACCAACAGTTTATAAATTATTAAAGAAATGAAAAACCTCTAGTGGAATCACAACGTTATGTTCATGCCGTTTTTTAGGGTTATATGTTCCACCGGTGTGTTTTCACATAGATGCTTTCACATATACATGTATATGATAGTGGCATATTTGTGCATTGTAACTGCAGGATTACAGTGCTAAAGGTATCTTGACATTTCTAAGTGTATTTAAACTATCTTGTTAAAATTATTAATGTTAAATTATACACAAAGGAAAATATTACTAAGTGCATTTGACTATGCATTTAAGACGAAGTTGGTGGTAGATATAGTTATCTTAACTAGCACAGTGTTTGGCACACAGTGGACAGGAAACATTTTGAATGGACAGGTAATAAAGGATGGTTTTGTATTAGAAACTAAGGATCTTGTAGACATCATATATGATTTTTATGAGTCGTTCTGTAAGAAAGTTGTTTTTCACGAAATCACACATTTGTTTTACTAAAATATGAGACCTCTGTCATAGTCGACATTTAAGGAAAGAAAGTTTCATTGTATTTTAACTGTTAGACATTAGCTAAGCCTCAGTGGAGATTTTGAATGCTTGTTGACAGTTCATAGGGTGCTGAATTTGAAGAAAAAAGTTGCTTTTTATCTGAATCTGAATACAAGACAGTTTATGTCCATGTTTCCAGAATAAAAGATAAAAGGGCTCATAAAATATGTATTCTGGTATAACCACCATAAGGTTATATTAGCTTTAATTTTGCAGTATATTTTTGCTGACTTCATAAACCACAAAATTGACTCCTTCCTGTTGAACTAAAAGTGAAGTTACAGCTTTGACCTATCTTCCTGGGATAGGGAATTGGTCTTATGGCTGAAGTATAATATTAATACATGGTTTAAGTTGTTTATTTTTTAATTCAGTAAATTCTTAAGTCACAAAATCAGTATCCACACAAATTTCCTTTATGGTCTGTAATGTTAGAAGAATAAATATTCTAAAAGAATAGTAATGACCTAGTATAAGAGAACTATTACCAACCCATGGAGTAAGACTTGTTTATATAAAGTTTAACTTTGTATCTTTTTCGGTAGTAAATAAATTATTTATGTGAGTAATATTTCTTTATAAATATATGTAATTCTCAATCTCATTTGAATGTAGACATTTATTAGTTTCTGTTAGCATTATACTAAAAAGAAGCCTAATATTCAAGTAATTGACAAGAGCAACATTAAACTCTGTCTAGGAATGCATGCTTGGGTAATAAAACTATATATTTTTTAAAACCTACAAGGAAGTGATTTCTACAAAAGTAATGGTGTGGGAGGGAGGAAGTTGTGATTTGGACACAGCTTCTTAATTGGTGGTAAAGTTCTTTTAACCTGGTGGTGGTTGCAAGGGTGTTGGCCTTAGTATAAATCATTAAGCCATACATTTCTTTTGTGTGTTTTTCTGTATGTGTTGCAGTTTAACATAAAACTTTTCTTCTTTTTTTAAAGAAGCCTGTCTGTAATGTACTATATAAGATAAATAAAGAACTTAATATGTGGTGACTGACTGTGGAGTACTGCCTGGATTATCCGGTGCAAACAGGGTTAGACTTATGAAATAATAATTATCGTAAACCAGCTAGTGCATGTAACTACTTTGACATGTAAATAACATGTTGATATTTTGAGGGAAGACACCAGGTTTTTATGAACTTTAAATCCTCTTCAGCTTTTATATTGTAAGTGACAGTAAGTAATGACAATATGTTTACTAAACTAATGGGTATTCTTTGGTCATCAAGAATAATATATAATATATTTGACAGGAAATTATGTAACATTACAGTTAAAACTAACTTTGGCATAAAGGTAAAATGTTTACTTGTATCCATTTTTAGTTTTCTGGAACAGTAATTCTTTGGATCAATAATTTCATCCTTAGTTTTGATATTCTTAAGACTGTCATGAAATTCTGAGTGTTAAGATATGCTTCTGTTTACTTAGGTTTTTTGAAGACGTGTCATATAGCACCTAAAGGAAGAGTATGTTTTGTTTCAAAAGTAAGCAGATAACCATATGGTGCTGGAGTTTTAAAAATGCTGAAAATCATTGCATTGTGCTACTTTTCTTGCTTTAAGTAATAATGGCTTGCTGTTTTAGTTGTTGGTCTCTTTGCATTTTGTAATGCAGAGTTGAAGAAGAGATCACATCTGTGCCAAATTTTTATATCACAGGAACTTTCAGTCATTGTAAAGGTGATGTTTGTGGTGCTGGTTTTGTTACATGAATATTTACAGGAAGTTTTAGTTAGGATCTTCCATTGTTCAAAACCCTACAGGGCTTAGGTCACCTTCGGTTCACATTTAAATGGGTCTATGATACAAATACAAGTTCCTCTAGCGAGGTACAATTGCCTTTCTTTAAAGTAGATAATCCGTTTGTATTAAAGGATCTTGGTATCTTATTGGTAGTGTGTACAGACAGTTTGTGTGCTTCTGTGGCAGGGTATGTATTATCTTTTTTCTTCCTCTCAGCTGCTGCAGCGCCACAATTAGCCTGAGTATTGCTCAGCTGCAGCTGCTGGGTGATTATGAACCATCCAGTGCCTGTCTAAACTCAGAGGCAGATTTAGCAAAAGGAGCTATAGTAACAGCACAGGGTGAAAGAGAAGAGCCGATGCTACTGCCAATATAATTTTAACCTGTCTATACTAAGGAATCATTGGCTGCTGCAGCACTACTGTTGTCTTGGAAGTGGCAGACTTGATGGCAACATATCCTGGCCTGGATTGGGTTTACTTGGTGTTACTCTTTAAGATCTTGAAGTTCACTCCAGGAAAGAGTAATTTCAGAGAGTAGGATGATGTATCAACGAGGTAGTGGTTCCCTGAGTTATAAGCCTCTATGCCCAGGATAGCAGTGCCCTTTAGTTTCCCCCTGTTTGAGTGCATATATAAAGCATATGCCATATACTACATGCTGCTTTAAGCTGTGTCTCTTAGAAGTGCTGCTGCTTTTACTGTTGTTTGGGGGTGGCAGGAAAGCTTATAAAGCAGGTTCTTTGGATTTCTGACTTTTTAAAATTTGTTTTACTTTTTATTTTTTAAATATATTTTATTGATTATGCCATTACAGTTGTTCTATTCCCCCCCTTCATTCCCCTCCACCCTGCACACCACCTCCTCCACCATCCCCCCCCTTTAGTTTATGACGTGTCTCAAGTTCTTTAGCTTCTATATTTCCCCTACTATTCTTGCCCTCCCCCCCATCTATTTTCTACCTACAGTCTATGCTATTTATTTTCTGTACCTTCTCCCCCCTTCTCCTCCTCCCACTCCCCTGTTGCTAACCCTTCATGTGATCTTCATTTCTATGGTTCTGCTCCTGATCTAGCTGTCCTCTTAGTCTGCTTTTGTTTTAGGTGTGATTGTTAATAACTGTGAGTTTGCTGTCCTTTCACTGTTCATATTTTTATCTTCTTTTTCTTAGATAAGCCCCTTTAACATTTCATATAGTAAGGGCTTGGTGATGATGAACTCCTTGAATTTGATCTTATCTGAGAAGCACTTTATCTGTCCTTCAATTGTAAATGAAAGCTTTGCTGGATAGAGCAATCTTGGTTGTAGGTCTTTGGATTTCATGACTTGGAATACTTCTTTCCAGCCCCTTCTTGCCTGTAAGGTCTCTTTTGAGAAATGTGCTGGCAGCCGGATGGGAACTCCTTTGTAGGTGACTGTCCCCTTATCTCTTGCTGCTTCTAGGATTCTCTCCTTCATTTTAATCTTGGCTAATGTAATTATGATGTGCCTTGGTGTGTTCCTTCTTGGGTCCACCTTCTTTGGGACTCTCTGAGCTTCCTGGATTTCCTGGAAGTCTATTTCCTTTGCCAGATTGGGGAAGTTCTCTTATTATTTGTTCAAATAAGATTTCTACTTGCTCTTTCTCTTCCCCTTCTGGTACCCCTATAATTCAGGTGTTGGAGTGTTTAAAGATGTCCTGGAGGTTCCTTAGCCTCTCCTCATTTTTTTGAATTCTTGTTTCTTCATTTTTTCTGTTTGATCATTTTTTTCTTCCTTCTGGTCCACTCCCTTGATTTGAGTCCTAGTTTCCTTTCCATCACTATTGCTTTCCTGTGCCTTTCCCTTCATTTCAGTTAATTTAGCCTTCAA